GCAGTCACAGTGAAAGCACTATGATAAACTAACCAGTGACATACAGTAAATACTTACTTAATGTGGCCTCCACTAACAACAAAAAAGAATTCAACAGTAATAGCATAGAGTTAACTATCTTAAGATTTGTAAAGTTTAATGATTACACAAGATAGAGGGAATGTGCTTGGATAAATTAAAAAAGTAAAAATAAAAAATTAAGCAATGGAAGATGTGGAGGAAAGAAAAGTGAGATAAATTACCCTATTAAGGAATAAAAGGAAATAATAGGTTTAAATAAATGTAACAGAAAAAAAAATAGCAGAATGAAGTAAAACGAAAAAAAAAAAAAAAAAGCCCAAACTCCAAAAAACCAATGAAGGAAAAAAAAGCCACACTTTGCCAAAAGACTTCTAGACTTGACAGATTCAGTAGAGTAGCTTGATTCAGGGTAAACACTCAAAAATCAGTAGCCTTCTTGTACACAAATAACAGACTCACTGAGAGTGAAATTAGGGAAACAATCCCTTTCACAATAGCATCCCCAAAAATGAAATATCTAGGAATCAATCTAACAAAGGAAGAAAAAGACCTCTACATTGAGAACTACAGCACTCTGAAAAAAGAGATCAAAGAGAATATAAGGAAATGGAAGGACATCCCTTGTTCCTGGGTAGGAAGAACCAATATGGTGAAAATGGCCATACTTCCAAAACTGCTATACAGATTCAGTGCAATTCCAATTAAAATCCCAACAGTATATTTCACAGAACAAGAGAAAACAATCCAAAAATTCTTGTGGAACAAGTAGAGATCTAGAATAGCAAAAGCAATTCTAGACAACAGAGACATGGAGGAGGTATCACAGTCCCCAACTTGAAACTATACTACAAAGCAATTATGATAAAAACAGCTTGGTACTGGCAAAGAAACAGACCCAAGCATCAGTGGAATAGATTAGAAGATGCAGAAACATCTGACATACTCAGCTACCTCATCTTTGACAAAGGAGCCAACCACCCTCACTGGAGGAAAGATAGACTCTTTAATTAATGGTATTGGAAAAACTGGATTTCACCTTGCCAAAGGTTAGAACTAGACCCCTGTCTTTCACTATGCACTAAACTAAAATCCAAGTGGATTAAAGATATAAATATTAAAACAGAAATACAAAACCTGTTGTAAGATAAGTTATGTAGCACTCTTGAAGATATTAACATAGAAAGAGACTTTATGAACAAAAACCTCAGTAGCATAGGAACTAGCACAGAGAATAAAGAACTGGGATCTCATCTTATTGAAAAGCTTTTGCACTGTAGCAGAAATCACCAACAGAGCTAAGAGATAACCTACAATGTGGGAAAAAAAATTACCAGCTATTCCTCAGACAAAGGTCTACTATCTAGAATATATAAAGAACTAAAAAAACAAACAAAAAAGCCCCCCCAGAATATAAAGACCCAATTCAAAAATGGGCATCTGAAATGAATAGACATTTCTCAGATGAAGAAGTAAAAGCAGCAAATAAATGTATGAAAAAATGTTCAACATTACTGGTCATTCGAGAGATGCAGCTGAAAACAACACTGAGATTCCATCTCACCCCAGAAAGAATGGCTGCTATCGAGAAATCAACCAATAACAAATGCTAGCAGGGTTGTGGGGAAAAGGAACCCTTCTTCATTATTGGTGGGAGTGCAGACTGGTGCAACCATATGGAAATCAATATGGAGATGCCTCAAACAACTAGGATTAGAAGTCCCATTTGATCCAGCTATTCCTCTGCTGGGTATCTTCTTAAAAGAATTAGAAGAATCAGGGCCAGGGACTTAGTTCAGTGGTGCTGCAGCCTGCCTCGAAAATTCAAGATCCTGAGTTCAAACAAACAAACAAAAAAGAATTAAAAGAATCATACCACAGTGATATATGCTCACCCATGTTTATAGCAGCACAGTTTATAATAGCTAAAACTTGGAAACAGCCCAGTTGCCCATCAACTGGAGACTGGATAAAGAAGATGTGTTTTTTGTTCTAAAATGGAGTACTGTTTAGCCATAAAGAATGAGAAACTAGAGACATTTATAGCCAAGTGGATGCACATTGAGGACATACTCTGAAGTGAAATTAATGAAACACATATGTGCAGATACCGAATAGTTTCTTGGTGTGAAAAAACAATGTAAATAAGGATCGGAATGTATAATTGAAATTGTGTAATAGGAAGAAAAGGTCTGAAAGAGTAGGGGAAGTAGGAGTAGTAGGGGAAAGGTAAAATGAGAAAAGAAAAAATGTGAGAAAAGGAAAAACATAGAAACAATGTCTTTGCAAACAGTAGAGCCAGTGAAGGGAAGACTGGGAATGGGAAAAAAGTAAGAATCAAGATAAGTCATATAAAGGTACAAGTTCCCAATGATGAATGTAACTGTACTGTATACCTAAAATGTACCAATTAACAATATAAATAAATAAAAGAAAAAAAGGTAATATATTTTCCCTGGGCCTGTTGAAGTCATTGGAAGTACTTGTGTTTATTCTTTTTCTTTCTTGGTTTTTATTTTCCTCTTAATCATTTGATTTTATCCTTCTCTGTTTTGAAGTTTATTTTCCCCAATAAAAAGATGGAAAAAATATGAAATTGAATAGTTTTGCTTTCTCTTACACTGTTAATAATATGTAACTCAGCATTTGTTGCCATTCAGACATTGTTTATTGTTGAAATCCGAGCTCACTTGCTCCCTATGGAATATGCTATGTCCAGTCAGATAGAAACACACTATGTTGACACAGCACTATATGGTACACCATAACATCCACACATTTAACATCCACATTTGATGTTTCTTGGGAAAGCTGCAAATGTCTGTGCCTTGAGACAATTATGATGGTGAAATTATAATTATCCTCAAAGATGGTTGTGAAGATTAAGGCATTATATGAAAAAAACCATGCATGCAATGTTGACACTTGGAAGTGGAGTGTATAACAAGTCTATTAACCTACTCAGGTATTCAACACAGTACTCTCTAGTGAATTAAATTGAGATTATTCCTGGAATATATCCTATGTGTTTGTTGTTGTTTTTATGTTTTTGATATTTGGAAGACATTCATTATATGAGTAATCTTCAGTTATGACCCCCAGTCATTGTTAATATTATGTAGGTTTTCTGTAGATCCTTTGATATGTATTCAGTCATACCATCTATGAAAAGATGAGTTTATTTCTTCCTTTCTAATCTTTACCTTTTCTCCCTCCCTCACTCTTTTTACCTTACTGTGCCAGTTAGGGCCTCCAGTATGATGTTGAATAGGACAGGTGAGATAAGATATCTTTACTTCCTTCCCAATATCAGAAAATGGTCCTTAATATTATAGATAATATAGCATTATCTATAGGGTTTTTATAGATGCCCTCTTTTGGGAGGAGGAGCTTATATTTTACATTTTCTAAGAGTTTTTGTAATAAACAAATGTTCAGTTTTGTCACATGATTGTCTTTAAATCTACCACTGCTATGTTTGTCTATTTTTCTCATCTATACTTTGTTCTCTTTCTCTTCTTACTGTTCCTTTTGTTGGATTAACTGTATTTATTATTCCATTTTTTGTGTTGTTGGATTATTATACCTCTTACTATTTTTAAGTAATTGTCTTATGGTTCAGAATATACACTGTTAACATAGTCTACTTTCAAGTAATTATATACATACTTAATATGTGTTATAAAAATCTTTCAATTATTTATTTCTATTTATTTCCTTAGGGTCTTTGTATTATTGTTTTTTATGTATTTTACTTCCCTCTATATTATTAACACCCCAATGCACAGATGTTGTTTTTGCTTTAGGGTTACCTTTCAAAGAGATTTGAGAAGTAAGAAAAAATTATATTGGCCTATATTTTTACTGTTCTACATTCCTTTTTTTTTTTGAGACAGGGTCTCACTATGTAGTGAGACTGACCTGGAACTCACTGTGTAGCCCAGGAACTCACAGTGATCCTCCTGGCTCAGCCTCCCAAGTGCTGGGATTACGCCCAGTTACATTCCTTGTTTGTTTTGGGTTTGTGTGTGTGTGTGTGTGTGTGTGTGTGTGTGTGTGTGTGTGCTGGGGTTCAAACAAGTGCCTTGCACTTGGGAGGCAGGCAACAGAACCACTGAGCTAAATCTTCAGCCCTGCATTCTTTTGTGTAGAGCCAGATTTTTGTCAGTTATCACTTTACCATTCTTTTTCTTTCTTTCTTTTTTTTCCCCCCCTTGTAGTGCTGAGGATTGAATTCAGGGCCTTGTACATGTTAGGCAAGCACTTTACCACTGAGCTTCATCTTCAGTACATCCATCATTTTAAAGTACTTCCTTTGACAGTTCTTATCATACATGTCTCCACTGGTGATGAGCTCTGTTGAGTTTTTTGTTTCAAAAAATCTTTATTTTGCCTTCATTTTTCTGGGTACACAATTCTTCATTGAATTGTCTGTTGTTTTCCAGTACTTTCAGTATATTATTCCATTGTCTTCTGGTTTATGTTGTTTCTCACAAAAAATTTTCTCTCATTCCTGTCTTTGTTCCTCTATACTTCTCATGTCTTTTTTTCTCTGGCTGCTTTTAAGATATATTAATTTTTATTCAAATTTTAGTTTCTAACTCTTAACACTATCATTGATAAGCATTTAAAAGTTCCTCAAATAGTAGAAGTATATAAGGAATGCTAATAATCTTTTTATTCTTTACTTTTTGTTCTTTATATTTTCCATTTCCAGAGAGTTTGCAATACACACAACCTACACACACCTTTCCAGTAAAGTAACCTGGATCTGGTGACCTTTTGTTTGCTTTATGACTTCTAGAATTGTATATGTAATATTATTGAAAATTTCCCACTTGTATGGAAAGTTAAAGACCGTTACTAAATCACTATCTTCTCTAGGTGATATATTTGAGTAGGTAAGTAGGAGTTTTTGTGGCAATTGCAAATTTTCCTTTAGTGATTAAAAATTCAACACCTTACCTTCTCTCTGTTTATAGTTTCAACGGTGTAGAATCTGGGACAAGTTACATGAAGAGCATATCAATGCAGGACGTACAGTTCAGGTAAGGCTATTTTATTTTTCTGACAAATCAATATGAAAAAGAGTCTTAAGAAAATCTTGCTAAAATAATATAGATTGAAAGCTGTGGGTTGGGAATATACCTGTAATCCCAGCAGGCAGAAGTACTACCTCAAATGTGAGGCCATCCTGGATTACATAGTGAGTTCAAGATCAGCCTGAACTTCATAGTGAGACCCTGTCTCAATAAGCAAACAGAAAAATTTATAAAATAATTCCAGCTGAGTAACCCTTATTTCAAATGTTTGTAGACCAAAAGTATTAATGATTTCAGCTTTTTTTGGACATTTACATATACATAATGAGTTATTGTGGGAATGAAACAAGTCTAAATATGAAATTCATTTTACCTTTTATACAGAGGCTGAGGGTAATTTTCTATAATGTTTTTAGTGCACCTATGTTTTGACTGTAACTTGTCACATGAGGTATGAAATTTTCTCTTTGTGGCTCTATATATGTTGATACTCAAAGGATTTTATTTCATGTCACCAAACTGCCCTCTGGAAATGGATCATCAGTTTATACTCTCATAATCAATACAGTGGACCCTTGACTTATGAGTTCAATTCATTTGTGAGAGCTGGTTGTACCTCAAGTTCTTGTAAGTCAAAACTGTTTTTCCCACAAGAAATAATGGAAATACCTATAATGCATTCTGAACCTTAACTAACTTAATCACTCCTTAAGTAACCTTTTCATAATAAAAAATATATACTGTGTGTAATTTACTAGAAACACCAATAATTTTCCTAGAGTATTCACCAAAAAAGTATAAAATGGCCAAAAACTGAAAACTTTCACATTAAAATAAGGAACAAGAGAAGGATGCCCACTATCACCACTCCTCTTTGATATAGTTCTGGAAACATTAGCCATAGCAATTAGACAAGAGAAAGAAATTAAAGTAATAAAGATAGGAAAGGAAGAAGTTAAACTGTCATTATTTGCTCATGATATGATACTCTATAATGAAGACCCAAAAAACTCCACCAAAAAACTTCTAGACTTAATTGACACTTCTTGCAGAGTAGCTGGATACAAGGTCAACACCCAAAAATCAATAGCCTTCTTGTACACAAATAACAGACTTACCGAGAAAGAAATTAGGGAAACAATTCCTTTCACAATAGCATTCAGTTCTTAATGAGGGAAACCACAGGTGTTATAACAGCATTTATAGTGAATCAAGCTACATATAAAAAACATGTGGTTAACTAAAGGCATTGTATGTGGATTCTTATAAAGGGAAATATTGTGTTCAGAGTGTCATAAAACTATTGTGTATTCCAAAGCACTTAGAATTCTCATATGCTCAGTGTGGCTATCAATACTTCAAATCCCAGCTTTGGTGACCCTGTGATAAGGAAATTGTATTAATGCTCATTTGAGGAGCTAAAAAATGTTCTTCAACATATACCTTACCCATGTTGTTGTATGTCTTACAGTGTAAATATTTGCAAATAACTCTTAACAAGGAATAGTGTTTTATCCTTAACATAATATGCTTTTTTTAAAGATTAAAAGTAAATTATAACTATAAAAAAATCAGAGCAGCAAAGTATTTCTTCTGAAATAAAGGATCTTCTGTTTATATGTATTGCAGATATTCTTTGGTAATTATTTGCTTCTTTTTTAATAAAGAAAATATTTTAAAAAGTCTCCTTCTATGAAAAAATAAAACAAAATTTCATAACAAATTAATTAAATAATAACAATTGTTACACTGAGTACCATAACCTTAAAAGAAAGGCCAAAATGTTAGCGTACAAGTCATAGACCAAAAAAAAAAAAGATTCTTACAAAAAAGAAACAAATAGATAATAGCACAAAACTTTCTTTTCAATGAACTAAGAGGACCTAGTGGTATGAATGAAATAAAATAACATATATATTGAAATATTTTTGAAACCACGGGATGTATAATTTGGGAAATTATTAAAACTTTTCACTACTTCCTATTACTCTCTTCTTTTTTTCATATTTTTAAAATATTTAATAGAGACTCTGGAACCAAGATCTGTCATATAAAGGTACAAGATCCCAATGATGAATGTAACTGTACTGTATACCTAAAAAGTACTGATTAACTCAGTGAGAAAAAATAGACTAGTACAATACATTGTACTGTATTTTATGTAAGAGAGCCACCACAGAAATTAACATAACTTAGAAGCAAGGTAAACAGTTAAGGAGGGCCCAGTCCTGGGGGATATTTTCTCACAGCAGTGTCAGAGTTGAATAGTTGCAACAGAGGCTGTGCATGCAATACTTACGTATTTATAGTCTGCCCTTTACAGAAAAACTTTGCTAATCCCCGTTTTATTGGATTGCATGTTTAATTTTATATTCTAGCCTTTTTGAGATATTTTCTTAGTTTTATCAACTGTTTATACCAAATTATTTATTTCTACTATTACATCTAATTTATTAGAGATTTTTCGCATTTGTTTTCCCTTTTTTATAGTATTTTGGTTGGGGAGGGTAGTTTTTTTGAGATAGGGTCTCATTATGTAGTTCAGATGAGCTTTGAACTCATTATGTAGCCTAGGCTGGCCTAGAACTTGGAGCAGGCCTCCTGCCTCTGCCTCCCAGGTGCTGGGATTACAGCTGTGCACCACCATACCTACCAGCATTTTGTTCATGGGTATAATATCTTTTATTTTTCTGAGACACTAAAAAGCTGATTACCCATCTCCTAGTGGATATCACTCAAAGGTAGTTTGTCAACCTGGCATTTTTCTTAAGGGAACCTAAAAATATCAGTTAGGGTTAGGGTTAGGGTTAGGGTTAGGGTATCAGTTTCTACAAGTCAGTGTGGTTGAGTTTTCTAAAGGTGAAACCTCATTCTCTCCTTGGAGCAGGCATTTTATAAAGCCATAGAGGCAGATTAGACAAGGCTTTCGTTGTTCAGGACAGGCTTTCACACAAATCCCTGCTTTTAGCTCTATGTCTGGAGTTTCTGAATCTAAATAAAGTCAGTTTCTCCAAAGAATGCCCAATCCTCTTGATTTTCAAATTAGTGTAGCTGTGGTACAGTGACTAGGTTGGGATAGAATGAAAAGAGATCATTAGGAAAGGTTACAGAGGTCCAGGAAGTATGTGTATAGCTTAGTGCTAAGAGATGGAGAAAAACAGATTGATTTGAGATGTAAGTGGAAATATGACTTATCTACATGATATATATTTTACTGCTTGCTAACTAGTTCATAGGCCTAGGGAGCAAGGACTATGTCTCCACTATTTGTATATTCCACAGCACCTGGTACTTAGCAAGATTGAATGGTATTGAGCATGTTAATGTTAATGAGATTATTATGACTTGGATTTCTTACCATCTTCACTGTTTAAAACATCATTAAAAAATTTTCATGATTTGTTTGAGATATTGGTTATAGTTAAAGTATTTGTTTATTGATTTTTAAAAACGTATATATTTACATTATTGACCTCCATCTGGCACAAGATTTATGTGTGCCATTAAAATAATGAGATCAAGGAGCCAGGGTTTTAGCTCCGTGGTGCGGCCAACCTGCCTCGCAAGTGCAAGGAGCCAAGTTCGTTCCCCAGTAACAAAATAAATGAATAAAAAGTAATGAGATCAAAACTATTGTTAGATATAGGTATTCGTTTAATTTTAATCATATCTGTCCTGAATTTTGTGTTTAGGCTTGTTCTTTGCTAGTTTGTGTAAGAGTTATTTTTAGAAAAATAATTTCATGAACAGTTATCATAGATTTCTCCAAATTTATCACTATTAAATTCATGTAAGAATTTTTCATTTTCATCATGGTACTTTTTTGATAAAAAGGATCTCATTAAAAATTTTTAGTAGTACATGTTTGCAGTACTTAGTGAATCCATTCATTGTGGGTAGTTGGAACATGTACATAACGCCTAATGTCAGTCTTTTGTGGTTAATGCTTTTGGTGTCTTGGTCAGTGAATCCTATCTATCCTAAAAATCAAGACTACAAACAAGAATTTGTCTCAAACTATTTCTTTAATTTCTTCCTAGGTACCTTATTGTGTGTGTGTGAGGGAGAGGGGAGGCAAAGTGTGTATATGGAGGAAATGTTCACTGCCACCTTTCTTTCAATGTAGACTTTTTTTTTTTTTTTTTATACTGCGGATTGAACTCAGGACCTGTGCTTATAAAGCAGGCGTAGTGCCACTGAGCTAAATCCCTGAACTAATTTATACTTTTTAACTTTTGCTGCTGTATGTAGCAGTGTAGCTATTTTTCATGTATAGAGATCTTATAGCCTATTATCTTTAAATTCTTATTACCAAATAGTTTCCTGATGTGAATAATCTGCAATAATACACAAGATCCTAATAACATTACTGACATTTAGAAATGGGAAGAAAGGAGCTAAAGGTGTAGGGAAGGTGGGATGGGTAGGGGAAGGGTAATAAGGGAAAAGAAAAAAATGTGAGATAATGAAAAGATGAAAATAAAGTGTTTGTAGATGGGGAGGGGAGGAGGGGGTGAAGGGAGGGCAGGGGTAAGGGGAAAAAATGAGAATCAAGACTTGTCATGTAGAGGTACAAGATCCCAACAATGAATGTAACTGTACTGTATCCCTAAAATGTACCAATAAACTCAATTAAAGCTGAAAAAAAAAGTAGGGATAAAAAAAATTCTTATTATTTCTAGTAATTAGATGACAACCCCTTTGGATTTGTTTTAATACTTTAAATCTTTTGAGTAATATTTTTTTTCTCTTATAATAGCACTCATTTTTTTCTAACTCCTTTCTTGTTTTGATTCCTTGTATTTTTTCAGTTTGGCTCTCTGGTTATTGGAAGAAACAGTTGGTTATAAATAAGTTTATTCAAATATATCTTTTTTATAAGACCATATAAAAAGATAACAGCTCCTGCTGAAAAAATTCTGAATGCTATTTCTGCATATTTTTCTCAAAGTAAAATCTGATTATACTCAGTTATGTAACACTTAAATCATATATGGTACTGTTTG